GCCGCACGGCCCGCTGTGCAGGCGGCTGAGGGCTGTCTAGCTCCGCAGTTCACGGTCAGCAAGGAGCGGCATCCTGGCACTCAGGAAACCCTTCCTGGGTGCTGCAGGCGAGCGCAGAGCAGGCTCAGCTGCCCCAAAGGCCCGGGAGGGCTCCCACCGCCGCTTCCCACCCCGCAGGCAGGTGGCTGGGGACGATGCTCTTTGTCACTGCCGAGCACGGCACGGCTCCATTACCGGCCTGCGAAATGCTGACTCCAGCAGAGCTGTCTCATCTTTGTGACCTCCAGGGCCCAGGAAAACGATCCAATCAACCCGAGAAGCGGCAGAAACACCTTCCTCGCTCGCTCCTTAACGCTGGGGATTTGTGCGGCATCTCTCACGCCCGCTGCCGCCGGGCTGGAGACATGAGCGTGTAATGGAGGGGGGGAGGCAGAGCTGCTCGCGGGAGGAGGCTGACTGAAGGGATGGCTCCGGGCTGGATTTTAAAGCCAAGGCAGTGAGTCAATGAAGTAGGAAAGTGCTCAAAAAGGGCTCCTGCACCCCTAGAGCACGTGGAGGAGCAGAGGGAGGCAGGTGCTGACGGAGCGAAGGGAAGAGGGTGTCGGGCATCAGGGGCTTTTCCAAACTCTCCTCTTCCTTCTGCCTTAAACAGGAGCCTGGAACCAACACTGAAACCACAGAGCTGCCTGGAGAAGGATGGAGAGTTAGTCCTTCAGCCTGGCATCTCAAAACACTGCGTTAGGAAATGGGGAAAAAGGGGCACTAAGACTTGTTCAAGCCCCAGCAGCAAGACCAGTGGCACAAAGGCCTCCAGTCGCTGCGCTGGGGCTCGATATCCGAGCATCCCGTTGACCCTGCTCCATGGGGCTCAGGCAGTCGCCCTGACCGTCCAGCAGCAAAGCCCAGCTGATCTGGCAGCGTTTTATTCCAGAGGCACACAGGGAACTGGGAACACGGTCCTGGGTGCCCAAGGCTGACCTTGGAAAGGGGAAAGCGGCAGGAGAGCGGGATGCTGGGCCAGGCAGAAGGACATCTGCCCGCTTCCCCTCTCCCCCAGCCCCACGTGCGCCAGCAACGATAAAAGCAGCTTTCTGCAAACCGAAGGGTTAACATATTTCCGAGTCGCCCTCTGAGCAAACCACAGGCTGTTTCCCCCACCCCCTTCCCAAAAGCCTTTACATAAGAGTCTTGCAGAATTTATGGCCTTCCTCAGCTGTGCTGTGCTAGAGCCGGGCGGCCGCGAGCTGCTCTCATGTAACTGTCACAACAGATCCCAGGCAGTGCTAATTCGAGGAGGAAATGGGACTTGATTTCTGCACCAGTCACTGTCTCTCGCTGTTACAAAGGGATGGAGAGGCATTTCCTCCTCACGGGCTCTGCACCCATGAGCTTTCCCACACAATTCGTCGCATGCCCTGACCTTGAATGTCCCCTACGCAGCCTCAGCATCGCGGCAGCACGGTCCCGAGGCTTCCTCGGTTGGTGCACAGCAACAGGGCCAGAGGCGGTGCTTTAGGGAGACTGGTAAATCGGTTTAAAAAATGTGGAAGACTCAAAAACGCTGGGGTCTTGGAGTCCTGTTTGACACCAGTCCTTCATCTCACAGGAGAGCCAAGGAAACGTGGAAATACTTCCTCTCTGCTCCTGCACCTTCCCGGAGCGACTTCAGCTCTAGGACTTACCCTCAATTAACAGCGCTCCCCGAGCACCCTGTGCGGAGGGATCCAGCGCTGGGCTCTGCAGAGCCGAGGTGCTGGGCTCCTCTCTGCCAGGTGACGACGAGGCTGTCACGGTCACACAAGCAACGTGAGCGTTGGAAGAGAGCGAGAACCGACGCTTTTCCACTCCCTTTTCTTCCCAGGAGGAGCCCTGAGCGCTTTGCTGGCTCAGGCACTCAGGACCTGTGTCACCTGCTGCCACCGGATGAGGAACAGCATGCGCCATCCAAGCCCACCCTCCCGCAGCCTTGGCCCCCGAAGAAACCCGGCCTCCGCGCAGCACGGAGAGCTGCTGTTTGTAACAGCCTTCCCTGGGAGGGAAGTGACAGGCAGCGTGAGCAGGAGCCGTTTCACCCAACGAAGCCAAGCGGGGGCTGACATTGCCGTCACCCTGCGCGTCTCGCAGCAGGAACGCCATGCCGGAGTCGGAGGGGACAATGGGAAAGCAGATGGCGTGCCACGATCCTGGGTATTTAAAGCAGCTGCCGAAGCAGCGTGTCCAGGAGTGCCGCTGCAGTGCCCCAGGAGAAAGCCCGAGGAGGCTCCAAGGGGGGGAAATCAGTGCAGCTCCACAGGCTTCAGTGCTGCCGTGCTGCTTCGTGACAGCTGAGGATCAGCCCCTCCTCGAAAAGCCCCCCTTGCTCTAATATCCCTGGTATTACCCAGGAATGTATTACAGATACTTCTCAAGCATTTTATTTCCAGCGCCAACACGTGCTTGTGCCTGCAGTCCGTTTGCAGCAGTGCTGCTCTTTACACTGTGCAGCCAGGCTGGGCCGTCGCCCTCCTGTGCCTGGCGCTGATCTCACTCCCCATTTCTCTCCCCCCTCACTGTTGGGGCAACAAGCTCGAAGACACTTCCAGCCAGCCTCTTGTTAAAAACCTT